TAGCAATTAATTAAATCACACATACCACCGATTAGCACTGTTATAATGGAGCCATGAACACGTAGTTTCGCTACCTATAGCGACGCAACCAGCGATCAATTAGACTGCCACAGAAAGTTGAACGATCCCTCAAAAATAATAGCATCGAACAAAATTATTGCAACGTGTAAATAAGAGTTCGAAATAATAATATATGATAATAATTTTCTCACTGCTAGTTACCTCTTCTCGATGAAAGGAGACACTATACGTGCCGTCTCTCGGAAATTAGCATCGTTGTCGATTTTTAGCGCGTTTCTTACAATTACAGTACTGGAGAAAAGCTCTTATCTAATTAACCAAATTAAGAAGCCTCTCTTCGTTATTCCACTATTTAATAATCGGACATATAAGTCACTACAGTGTAACCTCGATTATCCGAACCATTGATACCATGATTCTCTATTATTCAAATACGTTTAGAATGCATTTTTTCTTTCATTTTCTTTTTATGCGTTTTCCTATTATTTTTCCTTTACTATATTTATACTACCTAATTTGTGCTTTTGCTATTATTAATAGGTTCTATAGCAATCATAATAATTTTAGATGATGCACGAACGATGAACTGCACAAATCGATAAAGATTCGCCTCAACACCACAGATTCACTGTAACGCTAAATAGCTAACTTTGTAATTTCAGGAAGAAACTAAATCAATGATCTGTTATGCGAACGTTCCATTGTATCGTATCTTTGGCTAACGTCTATATCAATTTTATTATTCATCTAATCAATTCTATATTTTTGTAAAGCTTGCGGATCTCTTTCCTTTCCCCGTGAATTCAATTCAAACCGATATTTTTCTCGCGATATAAACCAGAATATCAACGCTGTCGATTCGTTTCATTTTCACATAGCCGATTAAGAAGAACTCGATTTCACTCCGCGTACAACAACGGGCACTGTTTCGCCCCGGATCGAGGATCGGGAATTCATTCCCGCGCAAGAAAGGGGACCAAGAGAAAAAGTAATTACATGTGAATTAAACGCGTGAGCGTCTCGTCATTTTGCCGAGGTGAATTTACTCAACGCGACGATTGAGGTCGGGTAGTAAAAATGTGAGATCGCGGTTGTCGGGCGCGTTGACCTGGAACCTTTTTAAACGACGCTTTGTCAATGAAGGTTCATAGAAACCGGTGGTCGCGGACGAATTTCTTGATGGGCTAAGGCGCGCGACGCGTTCCGTTTCCCGCAGAATGTACCCGTTGTACCGTTTCGCGTTTAATGTAATCAGAAACACCGAGCGCGCACGGTTTCCCAAAGAAAGAGAAGATTCTTTTTATACTGAGCTTCTGTCTTCACAATAAAGAGCGTCGCGCAATCGACGGAAAATATTACTTGTGGTTCGTCGATCCGTTCTCTACCACGGTCTTCGATCGAATCGATTCGAATCTTTCGTTGCGAATTGACAAACGGGAGAGGTCTGTTAATTGTTTTTGTAATATTAATTTCACGGTTACAATGGTTAGCATTTTTTTTTTATTGCAATACTTTTTTTTTGTTTGAGGAAAAAGAGAACATACGTTTATCGCCTGTCTGAATTTTCTTACAGCTTCAATGAACGAAAAATTTACAATTTGTCAACGAATTTGATGCGTTCATGATAAAATTGTGTGGTTGCAACTTGAGATACCAGAAGGATAAACGGAATTAAAAAATGTTTATTTCGTCCATTCACAACATTTGTAAAGAAATTTATATGCCATTTTTTAGTAAGTGTATAAATTCACATCAAATAGAAAAATTGAATAAACGATTGTTAATTTCGATCTGTGAAAGGGTTAATTAATTTATATTAATTATATAATATTACTTAATATTAAATTATACAAAATTTTGTATACAAAACCTTCGATGCAATCAAAAATCTCCATTGTCTCTTGGAATTTTCGATGTCAATTTTAATTCCAAATAGCCAATACAAATTTACGCAAAATTGTCCTAATTTTTCTGTCGCGTAAACAACAAACAACAATCTTCAGCGGGGAAAAAACAACGCGCTCGGAAAACTACTCTCCATTTTACCGAAAGAAGAAGCGTAACGACTTCAGCACGGTTACTCGACTGCGCGTCGCCGGTGCGTCTGTGTCATATATCTGAGTCACTTTTTATTAACCGTCAACTATTATATCCAGGCTATCTTGAAGAGTTCATGATATTTTTAACCGTATAACACATAATATCGTTTCGCAGAGAAGCTTCGCCCGTTGCCCTAAACCATGAGATGGCGTGGCCTCCATCCGAGGGCCGCACACACTCAACGCCGCCACTTTTTCTGCCGCAGTAATTTTCACGTTTCCTTGTTGTTTTAGCTCCTCTTTCAAAGAATTTCGCGACACGGTTTCATCAAGTCCATTGAAACACTATCCGCAAAATACTATAGAAAAGGAAGTAACCGTTTGTCAGTTTATGGATTAGTTTCGCGAGGTTTGGAAGCAGAGAGAAAAGTGCGAATATGTCTGAGGCAAAGAAGTAGAATCGAATTTTTGCCGTTCAGGCTACATTTATTTACTATATTATTTATATTTATTATATATATATATAATTTACTTTATTATTACTATATTTATTATATTTATTTATTTGAATAGATATGAAATAATTAAGTTCTGGTCATCAATTTGCTCGATAATAATTGCAACTCGTGTTTTCCAAATTGAACTATCAACAGTTCGGATCGATTCTCCTAGATTCCACAAAAAAGATTGAAAAAGTACGATACAATCTCAACGATGCTACTATAATAAAATGCGTTCACAATCTCTTGCATAAACATAAGCTTGCAAATTTCTTAAATATATCTATGTAATTTCCGTACACTGTAACCGGTGTTTTAGAACTCAATTTTTCAAATTAAGATTCTCAGAGCTCACGAAAATCATTTTAAAAAATGTAAGCACTTTCAGTGATTCATAAAATGTACAATAATAAAATGCATCAAATTTCGAATAATAAAATGCATTCGCAAAGCTAGAGGGAACGCGAGCAAAAAATTCCGAACGCAGTAAATGAAATTATTCATGGACTTTGCGCCGGCATCAGAAATTCCACGTGTAGTACGTGGAACAATGCAGTCAGATAGTAACGTCTCAAGCCCGCGAATTCAATTTCTTTTCGTTCTGTTTAATCTCGTTTATCGAAAATAGGATGGGGATACAAGTTCAATTCAATATAGGGCCGCGCACAACCTTTACGAGCCTAGCGGCGGTACAGGAGAAACGGTCTGATAAAATTATGAATTACGGTGCATTGGCCTTCGAGGCTCGTCGAGGTCGTTCGACATGGGATAGGTCAGTCGCTGCATCTAACTCATTCTAACTGATGCGGTGGAGCTCCGACCGTCGATTCTACGTGAACCGGAAATATAATATCGGGGATCTCATTCGAATTCCTCTTGAACCACCGCGGAAAGCAAATGTTTCGAAGCCCTACGAAAAATGAATGAAATCCTGGGAAAACCGCATTATTATACAGCGTGTTCCGAAGAATATGTACATATCGTAGTGCGAACGATGGATAGTACCGCGTGAAAACTAAGTTATGGAAGGACATTCGGGTAAAAATCATCTGCGAGTAATTTTCCAGATAAAGTGTTGAAAACATAATTGCGGGAAAATTATTTTGCCAATTAATTTTTTCGATAATAAAATGTTAGTTGGCAAAATATTTCACAAATGATTTCAATCAGCATAAGGAGTGCTATCAAAATGCATATTTTCAAAATTTCATCTGGAACATTATTGGTAGTTGATCTTCGTCTGAGAAAAGTCAGATTTATCGTTTAAGTAAAAGATCAAAATTCCAGGAATCAAAAACATCAGTTCGACAAATTTGGATGCGAAAAATGATTAACAAGAACTCGTTTGTTGTTTAATTCAAGGATAATACTTATAAACTACAACGAAATCTGAGCGAGGCAACGCGTGGTTTAAAAAATATCGAGTTTTATCGTTTTTTAGAAACTCAAAATACATTTGCCTCGCCGATAATCGCTACAAACGATACAAACAGAGTTTTTCTTCTTAATAATAATTATATTACGACTTTTCTCCATGATGCTTTTAGCAGCTATCGTCCCTGAAAAATTCAGCTTTGCGAAACAATCTGCCAGCGAGGTTTTTATTTACGCACAGCTTCATTTACGTTCTTACGAGCTACGAACAATTTCTTAATATTACTAATTGAGTTATTAAATAAATTATTAATTAACTTATTAATTCGTCGCTCCAACGAATAGCGATTTCCGCAGAAATCTGTGCAGCCAGTGTCTAGAAAACTGGTTTCTCTCTAATGCCCCAGAAAAATTTCGATCGAGGATTCCGAAGCGAATCAGTTTGCAAAGGCAGTTCTCTCTTCCGTTCCTGAAATTATTCAGACGAGGTTCGACCATGACCATTGCCCATTGAACGCTACATTCGGAGTGGTCGTGCCGCGAAGCCGACGTCAGAAGCAGGCTACGCCGTCGACGACGGACGGAACGCGAGTATCGATAGTCGAAACGACTATTGCGGCCGGCCGCTTTGTTTCCGGCGGTGCTTTCCGCTTTAGCCGTTCATTCGCCGGGCCGGCGCGATAAAAAGTTCAATATCGAGTTGAAAAGGTAGGCGAGCGACGAGCAGCGTGGCGAAGGGGGCGTATGCAAGTACTATTCCAGGCATCGCAAAGTGGCGCGGGCTCCATTGACTTCCGGTCGAAGTCCGAGCCAGAACCAAAGTGAACTCCTAAGATCTCGAATTGCGGAGAACTTTCTACGGGGGCGCGGGCAAGTTTCACCTGAGCCCCGGAAATGGGAACTGCCGGCGCTTCTGTTTCGCAGTAGACGAACCCCTCGTTCTCCTCTCTCTCTCTCTCTTTTTCTATCTCTTTCTCGTCTTTTACTGTTTCTTTTTCTTTCCCTCCTCTTCCTTTTCCGACATTCCAAGACCAGAGTGAACATCCGTTGAATTTTCTGCTTGCAGGAAACTGCCAAAACGCGGAAGCTTTCGCTGGAAAAAATGTCGCCAGGAGCATCGGCGGTTTGAAGGACGAGCTGCAAGCCGATGACGCGGAACAGTCGTACGTGTGAGTACACAGAGTTCGCACCCTCGAAACGTGTTTTTCGTCGAGAGATACTTGCTGGACTGTAAATGTTCCATGGAAACTCGGTTTGCGATCGGAAAAATCGATTTTTGAAATAGCGAACAGACCGTAAAAACAGACTGTAAATATTCCATCTTAAACGGCGTTCGAATAATTTCGTGGCTCACTGTACATACGCTACGAGTTGATAGCGTTTACAGTCTTTTGATCGAAATAATGAATGCTGTATTTAGGTCAGTATCTAGAACTTGTCCAATTTAATTAAATTTCTTGTTAATCGAGTTGCGAATATCTGGGAAATTGAAAATTTGTGTCACAGAATGTAATGTTAGTTGTGAGAGAAATTCAAACGATACGAATAACGATAATAATCGACAAGTTATACGTAGTTATTCACTTATTCATAAATGAAATTCTATGGTTTTGGTGTACTGAATGGGGAGATAGCGAATACGGGGAATCAATGATCCAGCCTCCTTCAGTCATGTGTAACTCGTGTCTGGCAACTGTGCAATAAAGGAGCTGACGCGTTAATTAGCAAGGCCGTCTTTGTAGAACTGTGCCAATTGCTTTAACTGTCTTTACTTTTGTGCCGATCCCAGAATAACAGTGACAGAGGGATCACAATTGATTATTCATAATTTACCGGGCTTGAAAGTGCGACTGTATAATTATATTATTGGTTATTTCTTGGGGAAATGACATATAATTGCATGCAAACATGTCCAAAATCACGAAAATATAAGGTGTCTAAAGTGTTAGCGAACATTACGACGAAAACCTGTAAAAATTGCAAAGGCTTGCACAAACATGTTCAGTCTCGAAGTAATAATACGGTGATGTAACAACATTGCAAAAATTTACAGAAGCATATTGAATCGCGCGAAGCAATCGTGCAAAATAGAGCGAAGAGAAACATAGAGCGCCACAGACATGTTCAAACACATTCAATCTTGAAGCAATAATTCGGAAGGAACGAAATTTCAAAAATTTGCGCAAGCACGTTCAATCGTACGTTGCAATCATGCGAAATAGAAGAAAGAGAAACATGGTGCCACAGACATGTTCAAACACATTCAATCTTGAAGCAATAATTCGGAAGGAACGAAATTTCAAAAATTTGCGCAAGCACGTTCAATCGCATGTTGCAATCATGCGAAATAGAGGAAAGAGAAACATGGTGTTACAGACACGTTCAAACACATTCAATCTTAAAGCAATAATTCGGAAGGAACGAAATTTCAAAAATTTGCGCAAGCACGTTCAATCGCATGTTGCAATCATGCGAAATAGAGGAAAGAAAAACATGGTGCCACAGACACGTTCAAACACATTCGATCCTGAAGCAATAATTCGGTAACGCACGATACTGTAAAAATGTGCGCAAACACGTTCAATCGCACGTTGCAATCATGCGAAATAGAGGAAAGAGAAACATGGTGCCACAGACACGTTCAAACACATTCGATCCTGAAGCAATAATTCGGTAACGCACGATACTGTAAAAATGTGCGCAAACACGTTCAATCGCATGTTGCAATCATGCAAAATAGCAAGAGGGGAAACAGGGAGCCCCACAGGCATGTGCAAAAACGTTCAATTTGTACGTCTGAACAGGATGACGAGGGGGAAAAAGTTGACAAAATTGGTAAAACATACGAAAGAGTGTCCCGAAAGAAATTCAAGGGCTCGCGAACGTAAACGGGAGGGCCAATTAACGAAGCGAAAAGGGTTGCAGCCAAAGGACACGTCAGCCGCGTTTCCTGTCCCCTGTAACAAGCTGTCCACGCAGCGTCAATGGACTACGATCAGGCGGTCGCCGAATCGTCATTAAACCGCAACTTCGACTCCGCGTCGCTCCCGGCTATCGGGGATCAAACGAACGGCACCCAAAGTACGGGGAACCGATAATTACGCGGCATACGAAATAAGGGTGGTCGTGTTACACACTCAAACTTTCTAATTGGTGTAACATAGTCGTACTACAGCCACGGGAACGCTAGTCACGCGTGGCGGTACAGGCTGTTCCAAAGTATTAGATCGTTTCGTAATCGAAGTTCGATAACGTTTCTAACCCTTGAATCTTCAGCAACCCCGTCTCTACGGAGATCGGTATAAGCTGTGACCCTAGCATTCTATTCATTTCTATTTTATTTTATGGTTAAAGCTTCTTTTCCTAGGTTTTTTAAATTCTCCTATGTTTTTATCATTTGCTTGCTCAGAATAAAATACAATGGATGGTTTATCTAGAATAATCTATTATCTAGAATATTATTA